TGCTAGGAAAGGGTCTTGGAGGGATCATCGAAGTGAAATCCGTCATCCTGTGGCTGACAGGGGCTAGAACAAGTTAATTACCTTTAATACTCATATTCATGCATCTTGCACTACAGAATCTATTAAGCTGGTGAACTTTGTTAGTATAATTTTGAAGTGAAATAGGGGATGTTCAGAAAGTCCATGTATCAGAAAACAGCTCCCTCCAGTTAATCAAGGTCCCACAGAGTCAGTTATTAGCAGACCATATAGAAAAGGCGTTCATGGGTAATCAGCTGGATTGAAGGCTGTTATCAGGTTAATAAAGGGAGTTGGTTTGTCGAGACAGTGTCACACTCAGGGTTTATGGGTTGTTTTGAGAAAGGGTCACATGCATGTCAGCCTTTTGAGCTTCTGTCCCTTCTACCTCCACCTTCCAAGTATTGAGATTACAAGGGTGTGTGTGTGTGTGTGTGTGTGTGTGTGTGTGTGTGTGTGTGTGTGTGACCATGCTCAGTTTATGTGGTGCTGAATATGGAGTCCAGGCCTATGCATGCCAGGAAAGCACTCCCCAGTTGAGCCACACCCCTAGTCCTCAAGAGGAGTTTTCTATTGAATCCAGTGATGTTCCACATCCTGGAGTGGCTCCAACGGTGCTCCACATCCCGGGGTGACTCCAATGGTGCTCCACATCCCGGGGTGACTCCAACGGTGCTCCACATCCTGGGGTGACTCCAACAGTGCTCCACACCCTGGGGTAACAGCTTACAGATCTATCAATGATGAGAAGCAAGGTGACAAGAAACCCGGAAATAAGGGAGAAGGGTGACCTGGGGACAAGTGAGGCTGAGAGCAGAACAGGAGAGTGTAGCCAAGTGCCAGAACAGATGTAGCCCTCAAGAAATGAGTACATTTAGAATGGCAGTGGCTTCTGCTCTTAGGGTGTTACATGGTAATCACCAACATATCCCTCTCTGCTTGGAGTTCTACCAAGTCCTGTGGGTATGTTTGTTAACCAAAAGAGTCTTCTCTGTCTTCTCCATAGAATTTCAAATCTTGTTGGAGAGAGATGAGTATCTATCTTCAACAATAATGATTAAACAAAACCAAACAGTGACCCTGGGTTTGTCCCAGGTTGACTTTTAAAATTTGGCTATTACCACACATTTTAAGATACTGATGTATTTCTCCATACCTCTGTCTCCCACAGAACAGTAATGATTAGACTTTTTTTATTCACCAAAGGAAGAGTAGGTTTCGTGACAGCCTACCAAAGCAACGTCTGATCTACTTAGTATTAAGCAAGGAGTTGAGGGTTATTTAAGGGGGTGAGGGAGTAGAAGAAAGCTGTTTCTTTAAAATACTTGCTGATCCAGAGACGGAGAGAGATGGAGTTTGTCGCCAGCACCTGCTCCCATCCTTTCTAAGCTTGCAAGTAGTCATCGCTCTGAGTCACAGTGAACAACTCTGGTCCAGACTCCAGACTATCTGCAAGTTCTCTCCCACCAACAAAAGCCTATGCATGAGTAATCCTCAGGACAGCCTGAAAGAAAGAACTCTAAATTAAATCTACAAAACTGTCTAAAAGCAAGTTTTCTTAATCTTCTAGAGCCGTGGTTCTTAACCTGTGGGTCATGACCCCTTTGGAGGTTGCAGATCAGATGTCCTATATATCAGAGATTTACGTTATGATTCATAGCAGTAGCAAAATTGCGGGTATGAAGCAGCAACGAAATAACTTTATGGTTGGAGGTCACCACGACATGAGGAACTGTATTAAAGGTTGGCAGCATTAGAAAGGTTGAGAACCACTGTAAATCTAAAGAGTTCACGATCTTTCAAAGATATTTTGTTATCAATAAACACTCTATATATTAAGTTGGTGACAATGTTTTGATGGATGGTTAGATCAGGCAATGGATGCATATACTATCTAACATGCTTATGGGATTGGGGGGGTATGAAGATTTAAAATCTGTTTTCTTAGCAGCTTCCAAGTATACAGTATATTGCCAGTGTACGTTATGTCTAATGGGTAAAGATTAGAATGCAACCCTTAGAGGCTAGGATAAGTCCTGGGGATGGGAACGGAGAAAGATTGGGAAGCAGGTACAAAAACACCCATGGCAGGGCCAGTCCTGATGTTCTGAAGGCCTGGATGGTAACTGCAGTTACACCAACTAACCACACACTTCCAACAGCCAGAGAAGGGTCTGAAGGCTGCAGCTCGGGGAAGTGATCACAGGCTAGTGTGAACCTGGGGAAGCGATCACAGGCTAGTGTGAACCTGCAATGTCGTCTGTCTCTAACTGGTTGATTTTACTTAACGTCCATCCTCATTGCCACAAATGACAGGATTTCACCCACAGTTAAGTAGTATCCCTTTGTGTGAAATTATTATCTTTGTATCTATTCCTTCTCTACCGGATGTTATAGTTGACTCTGTCTTGCAGGTGTGGGGTGGATAAACCTGGGAAAGCAAGCAGGTCTTTGATATGCTGACTTTTTTTGGTTTGTACTTGTACCCAGTCAGGGGACAACTGGGTCATGTGGTGGCTGTGTTGTCAGAGGTTTGGGAAACCCTTACACTGTGCCACAGGGCTGCACTAATTTCTGCTTCTACAAATTTCTCACTTTTCTGTGTTCTTGCCCGTATTTGTTATTTTTTGACTTGTTGGTAATAGTCATTCTAACTAGGATAAGTTCTTACTGTGGCTTTGAGTTGAATCTCTTTAATAATTAGTAGTTTAAACATTTTTAAACTTTTTGTCTCAATTATTTGTTTTGTTTGTAGCTGGCTTTAACTGTTACATAAAAACATGAAATTTGTACATATTAATCAGGAGCCATGTGATGTTACAATACTCAAAGAAGTCGTGTGATGTTTAAATTGGATTAAATATGACTATCTCCTCAAACACTGGCCATGTTACAGCAGGATCTGTCACAGAGTTCCCTTCCAGCTTTTTAAAGTGCACAGTGCATTATGGTTGTCATAGTCATGTCACCGTACTACACTACACCTGAACTGCTCGCTAACATCTTAGATGTCCTTTTATGAAATATATCTACTTCAGGCATCTGCCTATTTTTAATCAGACTATCTGAGCACCTTGCTAGTAGCCCATTCACTTGAGATTTTTCTTTGCTTCTTTATTTCACTGATGTCTCTATTAGAAATGTTCTTACTGCAGCCCATGAGCATCGGTGCTTTGAGTCTCCATTGCTGGGTCTCTTGACACACTTGGTAGTTTACCTTTAAAGTTCTTCTTGATCTGTTGGTTATTTAGAAGCGTGTCCCCATGATTCTGAGTCCTAGTTCCACTCTACTGTGGTGGGGAACACCGGCTACAGATTCAGTCTTGTTAAATTTGTAATGACTCTTTGTGATCTGATAATTGATGCATCCTTGAGAGCCTTCCAGACACACTTGGGAGGAATAATGTATTTTTCCCTCTGGTGGGCAGTGCCCGGTGTATGCACTTCACATTATTTTTATTTGATGTGTAATGTAGCTAAGGTTTTCTTACAGATGTTCTGTTGGATGACGTGTCTGTTGTTGAAGGTAGGGTACTGAGGCTCCCTGCTATTGTAGTACGCTAGACTCTGTTCAGATCTATCAGCATGGTTTGAAAATGTAAGTGTCACGATGCTGGGCACATTATTGTATCTCTCCAGTGAAGGCAACCTTAATCATCATATAATGATGCTTTGTGTCTCTTTTTATACTTTTAATGTAACATCTATTTTATTTCACCAATACAAGTATGGTAGCTATTCCTATTTTCTTTTGGATTCCATTTTCATTAAGTATCTTTTTCTACCCTCTCAGTGTGAATCTGTGTGTGCCTGGCCTCCTTGTCCTTAATGATAGTTCTTTACTGGATAGCTGGAATATACTAATACATGGACTACTATTGTCCATGCTGGAAAACAGATATGCACTCTGTAATTGTTAACGTGTACCCTTGTTACTACAAGGTTAGCCCCTAACAAAATTAAGTCAGAGATGGAAGAAAAGATAATTGGGACAGAAGCTAACATAAATAGGTATTGAGGTTTAGGCTTTGATCCTAAAAAGAGTCCTGAAGATTACTCTATATTTCTATTCAATCAAAGAGCATTTACAGGGCATCTATATTCTACACAGTGATCTGAGGCTGTGTGTGTGTGTGTGTGTGTGTGTGTGTGTGTGTGTGTGTGTGTGTGTGTGTATGTGTATTGTGGGGAGGACAAATTACATCTTGCTGTAGAACGCTAAATAAAGGAAAAGAATAATAGGAATCTAGAGTCATTTATTACCACAACAGTAAAGAAAAGATTGCTCCCAAATAATGCTCTTAGGGAAAAGTGACATCAGCTCTTAGTAATCCCAGACCCTGAGAAATAGATGCAAGAGATTCAGGAATTCAAGACCACCCTCTCCATAGTGAGTTTGAAACCAGCCTAGCCTATATGAGATCCTGTCTCAAAGAAACAAAACAAATTTTTAAGAAAGTAACTAACAAAGAAAATGTACTAAGGGTGTAAACTTCTTAAACTGAGAGACAGCAGAGGCACAGAAACAATACAACAAAGTTCATTCATTGATTAATGTATTCTTTTCAGCAGAGGCAGGCGGATCTCTGTGAGTTCAAGGCCAGCCTGGGCTACAGAGCGAGTTCCAGGAAAGGCACAAAGCTACACAGAGAAACCCTATCTCGAAAAACCAAAAAAAGAAAGAAAAAGAAAGAAAGAAAGAAAGAAAGAAAGAAAGAAAGAAAGAAAGAAAGAAAGAAAGAAATGATGAGCCAGGTGCTATATGAATATTGAAGATACAAGAATGAGCCCTGTTTGTATGGGCTTCATCATCAATTAGGAAAGTACAGGGAAACATAAATATAAATTATAAAGTATAATGGGAGTGTACAGGGAGCACCTGGTTATTTATGAGACAAGCTTTGGGGGAACGTTTTGAGAGAGGCTGTGGGAAAGAAAGTAAACAATTATTGCAGAGACAAAAAGAATGCTTCTTTTTATCCAGAGTGTGCTGACCCCTTGTGACGGAGAGCCTGCAGCTGAACAGCTGTCCATACTGGTGGGCCTGCCTTGCCAGGAATTAAGGTAAGGCTCCAGTGTGAACCTGGCATACTCAGAAAGTATCCCATGCACAGGGAAGGAGGTGATTTGCTGGTGTTGGGCTGAGAGGGAAAGAGGAGAAGAGTAATCTCCGTGGGGATCATGAACCAATAGCTGATGCTCGCAGGGATCTGATATCACGGATATAGCCTTAAGCCCTACAAATCAAAAGCGTTGTCTATAGTGAATTTGGTCTGGTCATGTCTGCTAGCTTAGATCTCACAAGTGCCCATGTATCAACCCGCCATTCACAAATTCTTTACAACCTGAGTTACAATCACTGTGAGCTAGATCCTGTGGAAATTCAAATCACAGAAACACTGTAAAACTCAAGTTACTAGACTGACCAGAGAAAGACTATAAAGTAAGCATAATGTTTCTAAATTTAAAACTATTTCAAGTATCATGAAAGCATATAAGAAAATATCAAAACCAACCAAGCAAATGCCAAGAAAGAGCATATCTATAAATAAACAACCCGACAGATAATTGCACATGTTCAGGACAGATGACTTTTTCTCTCCAGAGGCCTGGTTCTTAATTGCTAGCATGGGGATAGCTTCCCATCGAGGTAGTCCACAGTGTTATCTCCTCTAATTATGTCTTACTCTCTTCCCTCACCTTAGGCTATTTCAAATGTCTGAAAAAGAAAAACTAGAAACTAAAATAATAGCATGAGAGCTCTAGAATATACTGCTTCCCCAAGCAGTATTGCATCAGCAAGTCCACCAGCCTCCACTCGTCCACGGTCTGTGCCCCTCCGTGTTTTCTGAAGGCTGCCTGCTGGTGCATTTGGAGTTCTTCGAAGGGACACAGAATTAAATGGGCATGAATCATTGACTTTCCCCACTGACAAGAATGTTGACCTTTGATATTGGTTTCTTTTTTGTCACAGTAGCCTACTTAGAAGTCAAGGTTTCATGAAACCCTTTTTGGAACTCCAATATTAATGAAAAATGCATGAACTCACATGTTGCATAAGTCCAGCAGGAAAGTGTTAGCAATACTTTCTATTTATTCCCCCATCTGCCCGCATGATTCATAATTCCCCTCTGTCCCTCTTCACTGGTGAAATCTATACCAAATACATTTGTGATGATTACATAAACCCTTCTCTGCCTGGTCATTTCAAAGTTAGAACCATAGACACTATGTGTAAGAAACCCTCCATCAAGTAAGCAGCCAATGAAAATTCCTCAGTACCCATAGACTTCTAACCCAGGGGTCCTAATGGCAATTCTACCTGCTAAGGGGGCCCAAAGACAGTCTAATGCCACAGTCTATGGAACAGTGCTGCCACCTACTGGCTGGAGGCTAAGGGTGCCAAAGCAGGATGGGGTGGGGGTGGTCCTAGAGTTCTGGGGACAGTCCTCCCAAAAGTTATTTAGACATCAATAGTGCAGAAAGTTGTTGTGCTAAGTAAGGAATTAAACACTAATCTAGGGGTAGAGTTTAACTCAGATGCAAATGGGAGACTCTAAAAGCTGTACCTGAGCCTGACAGCTAGGTCAGACATTGTGGAATAAGTAAATGCTGCTTTTTATAAACTCGAGGGTGTAGTTTTTTTTTCATTTATGACATATTCAAGAAGGAATAAAGGGCCAGAAGCTGTGCACCTTGGTTCAAGTCAGAGTCTTCTCTTAGCAACATTGAAGACGTTATTTTTCAATGTGCAGATTCCTTCACTTTTCAAGTGAGAATAATAACAGTACATACCCATCGCCAGGTGGCGCTGTGAGGACTGTGTCAGTGAATACTCGCAAAGCACTTAAAACGGTACCAACCATGGACTAACCACTCTGTTAGCGAACCACACGTCTATCCTGCTTCATTCCAATCACTAAAATAAAATTCTACCAAGCAGGACCTGTTCCCTAGTGTCTTAGTCACTGTTCTGATGCTGTGAAGAGACACCACAACCAAGGCAACTCTCATACAGGAAAGCATTTAATTAGGGGCTTCGGTACAGTTTCAGAGGTTCCTCCGTTATCACATGGTGGGGAAAATGGTCACATGTAAGTGACATGGCGCTAGAGAAGTAGCTGGAAGCTCTACCTCCTGGCCCACAGGCAGAGGAAGAGAGACTGGGCCTGGCAGGAGCTTCTGAAACCTCAAAGTCCATCCCCAGTGACACACTTCCTCCAACAAGGCCACACCTCCTAATCCTTCTAATTCTGTCAAAGAGTTCCACTGTCTGGTAACTAAGCATTCAGCTACATGAGCCTATGGAGTCCATTCTTATTCAAACCACCACACCTAGCATCAAAACTTGTAAGAAAGAAAAGAGAATATTTGGTAAGTGAAGTGAATTAGATACAAGAAATGTCCAGTCTGGATCAGCTTGAAAACCACACTCTCAATGGTTTTCAGTTTCAATTATGCTATCATTGTTAAGGTGCTTTTTTAAAATCTGAGCACCCTTAAAATTAAAATTAGAATTATATCACAAACCACTGTAAGCCAGCTACAGCTGTGAGTTAGCTCCATGCTCTGTGCCTCAAGGGTAGTAGCTCTTATTCCTGATACTAGGCAGGAGGAACCTGGATCTGTCGATAAATAAACCACTTAAGGCTGTTTGAGAAAGGGCTTTAAGTTCTAATTGGCATCAAGAACTTCCTCTTGATGTTTCCTAAAGAGACCAGAAAAGTTTCCCTGCCCTGAAATAACCATTCTGCTAAGAAATGTGCTAACCATTCCAAGTCTTGATGAAACAGAAGTGAAAACTGCCTAATCTCCATGATTGGGAGCATATAGATAAATAAATACATTAATTAATTAAAGATAAAAATTGACCTTATGCAGTTAGGTCGCATTATTCATTTTCCGTATAACCTTGATTAATACACAATAAAAGTACGCTTAAATAAACTAACTAGAGCTCCTTCATACATATAAAATAGAAATTCAATTTGTAAAGCATCCATTTGCAAATAGTCTTCTCTGTGCATCATAAAGCATGGGCACATCTCTCCAATAATGGCACACTGATGAAATCAGAAATTCTGGTCACAGTCACCCTCAATAACCAGAATTAATAGTTTTTACCAATCTGATAATCAATGCCAGATACACAGCAAATCTGTTCCTAGCGCTCATCCATGAGAAGTTACTGAAAATCTTAATGACTGTGTTGCACAGAAAGTGATGCTTTCATTAATAATGTATTTTTCATGACATTTTGGTCATACGTGTTTCCACTTCTCTCTTTGCTTCACATGGTTAGCTACAGTTGTCTGTCACACCTCACTTTGGATCCCAACTCCTACTGATGTTTATTCTGATGCCCTGGATGGAGACCAAGTAAGTGCTCATCTTATATGCACAACATTTGTTCACTGAATATCCCATGGTCTTCAATGGAAACTTGGAAGAAGATACATTTCACAGTATCAGCATCCAGTTGGCCAGCATTCATTCAGTCAACAAATATCCAGGGCACTGAAGTTAGAAAAATGGACAACGCAGTTGTGGTATTTTGAATGATAAATGTCCCCCAAAGGCTCAGACCTTTGAACACTTTGTCCCCAGTCGGTGGTGCTGTTTTTGGGTTCTAGGAGGTGTGGCCTTGCTGGAGGAAGTGTGGCACTGGAGGTGGGCTTTGAGAGCTTGAGCCCTCATGCACTTGCAATTCACGTTCTTTCTGTTTCATGCTTTCAGTTGACTATGTGAGCTCTCCTGCCGCTGGCTGCCATGCTGCCCCTGCTATCAGAGACTCTAACCTGTAGTTGGAGTTTTCCTGCCTGGCCCACAGTCAAGACAAATCTCTGTCACCCGCCAGTCCCAAGCCGCTCAAACCCGACCAAGTAAACACAGAGACTTATATTGGTTTCAAACTGTATGGCCGTGGCAGGCTTCTTGCTAACTGTTCTTACAGCTTAAATCAATCCATTTCTATTAATCTATACCTTGCCACGTGGCTTGTGGCTTACCGGTATCTTCACATTCTGTTTCTCATCGTGGCGGCTGGCAGTGTCTCTCTGACTCAGCCTTCCACTTCCCAGCTTTATTCTCCTCCTTGTCCCGCCTACACTTCCTGCCTAGCCAATGGCCAATCAGTGTTTTATTTATTGACTAATTAGCAACACATTTGCCATACAGAACATCCCACAGCACTTCCCCCATTTTTTTTTTCAAAAAGGAAGGTTTTAACCTTAACAAAATAAAATTACATACAATTTGGGAATTTGGGCGTAGCTTCTCTTACTACTTCCTGCTGGAGGGGGTCGCTGTATCTTATGGGGATACAAAGAAAATTTTAGAATTATGGAATAGTCCATGAGGGTGTATCGTCTGAGCCAGTTGCCTTCAAATCATTCTGGATGTTGGATCATCTGGGCCATGGTGTCATCGGAGACCTTTCAGGGGGTCTTGGCTGGTCAAACCTGATGTATCTTAATCTTGAACAAATCCATAGCCTCTGGCTTTCTGTGGAAACAAAAGCAGAGTCTCCTTTCCAAAGTAACATATCCTTATATTCAAATTTTGAAGTCAAGGTACCTTTAAAGTATACATTTTGGCATAACTCAACAGCTTTTACAATCAAATGTTTTTCTGCAGTTAAAAGTCCCAAAGACAACACAATCCAGATTCTCTGTGTAATATCCATTTTTACGTGGCTTATTTTTTATACTACCTTTACTGTCTCTTTAAAGACTTTATTTTTTAAAACTATATATTTGTTTCTATAACTCTATATATCATCTTTTTTGTCTCTTTCAAGCCTACGTATCTTTTATACACATTGTAAACTATTACATCTGAATCTGTCTTATTGTGAATCTATTGCCTTAAACTGCAGCAGCTGTGGCTGCTGGCTCCACCCACCTCAGCTTCCCAACATAACGGTGTTACCTTTTCCACCAGCTCTGGGAGCTATCATGGGTCTATGCTTTTAGCCAAGCAGCGTGTAGTCCAGAAACCCTTTTTTGTTTTGCACTAGCAAAGGCTAAATCCACCATGTAGCTTAATGTGCCACTTGCAGAGGCCTCATTCCCGCCATACTGCAGGTCGAGCACACACTCTAGGAACCCACCAGTAGCTCAAATCAGCAGCTGCCGCTCATTTGAGAGAGACAATTAGGAACTGTTTTTAGCTCCGTTTTAGAATCTTTTCTCAGGTTTTAGGTGGAAACTCTTGCCACCACGTTGGACGCCATTTGTAGTTGGAGTTTTCCTGCCTGGCCCACAGTCAAGACAAATCTCTGTCACCCGCCAGTCCCAAGCCGCTCAAACCCGACCAAGTAAACACAGAGACTTATATTGGTTTCAAACTGTATGGCCGTGGCAGGCTTCTTGCTAACTGTTCTTACAGCTTAAATCAATCCATTTCTATTAATCTATACCTTGCCACGTGGCTTGTGGCTTACCGGTATCTTCACATTCTGTTTCTCATCGTGGCGGCTGGCAGTGTCTCTCTGACTCAGCCTTCCACTTCCCAGCTTTATTCTCCTCCTTGTCCCGCCTACACTTCCTGCCTAGCCAATGGCCAATCAGTGTTTTATTTATTGACTAATTAGCAACACATTTGCCATACAGAACATCCCACAGCACTAACCTTCGGGAACCATGAGCCAAAACAAGCTCTTCTGTAAGCTGTGTTGATCGTGGCTTTTGTCTCTGCAACAGGGAAGTCATTCATACAGCAGTAGAGTTCCCTGCCATCTCAGAAGTTGCAATTTTCAACCAAATAGACAGACATATTGTATTATATTAGCTGACGATAACTACCATGGAGAAAACAGTGGAGACTCAGAGGAGACAGGGCGATGTGTGGTTGCAATGTACTTAGTGTGGTCATGCTCAGTGACCAAGAGCACTTGAACCCAGACCTGAGAGAGGATAGTCTAGCCACACAGGCATCAGGAGGGGGAACATTCTAGGCGGAGAGGAAGGCACGCACACAGGGTCTGATGTCAGAAAGGACTTGCTGGTTTGGGGATTGTGTGGATGGTGCAGTGCTTACAAGGGGCAACCTAGCAGGAAGTGAATTAAAGATGTAGCTCAGAGTTCAGCCCACAGCTCAGTGGTGGAGTGTTTGCCTAACATGCACAAGGCCCTGGGATCCATTCCCCCAGGAGAAGCAGCTGGGTCCAATGAGCACCAGTGAGCAACATCTTTGAATGAATCATTTCTGTGATTTGTCTCACCACCCAGTATTGACTTCTTGCCTTAACAAAATGACTTCCGTTGCTCGGTGCTGCGGAGTGTGCTAGGATTGCCCCATTGCAATCAGAGGAAAGTCTGATGACTGCTCACTGGGTAGTGACTCACATCATTCCTTCTATCTGAGTGAGCGTTCCACACCTGTGTCCCTCTCGCCTCCACAGACAGGATTCAGGAGCAATCACTTTTGTTCAACAGTTCTCCTCTTCTTTACTTAAAGGAACTCTGGAGTTGGAATCAGAAAGCCTGGGACTATACTTTCCAAAACATGAATCTTTAGATTATTCTTCCAATTTGTGACAGGTCAGATAATTCTACTTTTCTAATTCGTGAATGAGGACAACATTATCTACTCTTCAAGAGTTTTATAAGAAATTGGATTATTTCAAAAAACAATTAAATGATACCTAGTACATAGAAAATGCTAAATAAACAGTTTTAGTATTTTAAATGTGTATCTAGATGCTTGACCGCTTGATGAAATGCCTACGTAATCAACAGATCTATCTGCCCTACTTGCTATGGAAACTCTTCTAAATTGAGTTTGCATTATGGTCACTTACACCTGTGCCCATGCTCGCATAGTGTGTGTTTCTTGAGAGCCGTTGCAAACACGTGGTTTTATACCCAACTCTTCACAACCTGTCTGAAGAGGGAGGAAGGTGCTCAATACTTGCTGGGAGTGTGAGCGACTGAGCCTCCCAGGTTTCTTCAGTTGGCTCAGGTAGTCCTCCACCAGCCTTTCACAACATCGACAAAGCAAGATGGTACATGATGGATGGCTCCATGTCCTCTACCCCACCTATGTATCTCCAGTTAGATTTCCCAGGAAGTCTGCCTTTGAGATAATTCATCTTCTAACAAGTCCAACTGTCTTCTGGTATGGCTCAGACATTCACAGTGACCTTGCCTACTTTTCTTTTGATTTGTTTTATTTTTGATTACGTGGATGTGAGTGTGTGTGTGTGTGTGTGTGTGTGTGTGTGTGTGTGTGTGTGTGTGTTTCTGTGCACATGAATGAAGGTGCCTGTGGAGACCAGAAGGCATGAGACACCATAGAACTAGAGTTGTGAGCCACCCAAAATAGATGCTGGGAACCAAACTCTGGTCAAAAGAAGAGCAAGCACTCTTAACTACTGAGCCATCTCTCCAGCCCCATAGACTGTTCATCTTACATGGAACTCATGACTAGAGGAAGTGTGATGGAATTGAATGGCTGTAAACATCTTACTAGCAGAGACTTGCAAGTACATTTGAATTTAACAGATTCCAGCCATTAGCATATAAGTCCTTGGTAAATATTAGATGTTGAGCCCACCTTGTCACACTGTAGTTCCTGACTCTTGTTTCCTTTGAAATCTGGAATAGGACAGTATATCTTGGGAAACCAAATCAGCTGTTTGGCATGTCTGATATGATGGACAATGTTGTTTAATATTATCTTTCTAGAAGTTTCCTGAGTTGATGCTTTTGTTCCCAAGTCTCTTTGCCCAAATATATGCATCCTCACATTCTTCCAGGAGCAAAGTCAAGGGCTGCAGAGTTTTCTGAATCTGGTGTTAACATTGCCGAGGGGATGCTTTCTCTGAGGCTATTGAGTACTGTTATAGTCATGTTTCTGCAACTGTAAATGACTGAGATACTGTGTGTAAGAAAACACGGTGAACTCCTCTAGCATAGTATGGCCCTTCCCTTAACAAATCACAATTCACTGAGAAAATGTGAAATGGAAATTCTTAAGTGAGTAAAGAGCACCACAGTGTGGTTCTAGTAAGTAAGAGCACATAAATGCTCAATATCACATATAAAAGACACTCTCCAGTAAAGGTCTATGTCCTCTGGTTCTTAGTCCTTCCAACTCCTTTTCCATGATGAACCCAGGACCTCACACAGGCTAGGTAAATGCTCTACCACTAAAACACACCATCAGGTCCCCACATCTGTGCCAGTGTGGATGACACCAGAGAGCAGTGGAAAAAAACACAATTTGTTTTTGATGAATTTTGGGTCACACAGTGTCATGGTCTGTTTAGGTAGCAATATTTCCATGTATTTGGGCAAGCTTAATCTCTGCTTCCCTGTAGCAGGTACTATTCCTATGCTCCATGCAGTTTATGGCATGCTTGGGAGGCAGACAACACTCTTAGGAAGTGGAGAGATGCTCAGGCAGGAAGTGCAGAGATACTCAGAGGCAGCTGGTTTTGTTCTGAGGGTGCAGGGCAATGGGTACCACTCAGAAAGGAGGATCTAGACAAAATTCAAGGTACAGACTGAGAAAGTTTTAGAAATTGGGAAGTGATTCTGTGTGACGTGTTGTGCAGGCCACTCACTTTTAGGTCTTAGTGTTCCATTCTCTTCCTACATATCTTCACAGTGTCATTGGGAAACAAACTGGCTCTTTTCAATCATGTCACGTTCTCATCAGACAACAGCAATCTGATTTTCAAAAGCATGCCTCATATTATTGTAGTGCGATCACATAATGTCATGTGCTTATTCTCCAGTGCAAGATAGAGTCTGAAGTCTATCCCCTTGGAGAAATGCAGTTGCTCTGAAAGACACACTCACGAAGGAGGTATCAGTGCAGAGAAAAGCCTCTGACTTTGTCTGCGGGTTTGGTGTTCTGCCACTTCACTGACAGTGTTTATCAGATCTGAAATTTTCGGGTGACATCTGTGGGGTCTTTAAATAAAGACAATATCAGCAAATAGTGGTGGCTGGACTTCTTCCTTTCCAATTTTATATTTTTCTTGCCTTATTGCTCTAAGACTTTGAGTGCTAAGTAGAATAAGGGTGAGGAGAGTGTTGTTTTATCTCATTCCAGCTGTTAAATGGGAAATGCTCTCCATTTTCCCCCTTTACTATAATGTTGGCTACATTTTTTGTCATATTTAGCCTTTATTAAATTGAGGTTGGTTCCATCTAATCCTGGTTTCTTCAGGTCTTTGATCATTAAGGTATGTTGAACTTTCTCAAATGCTTTTTCTGCAACTATGGAGATGATCATGTGATTTCTGTCTTTAAGTCTATTAATATGGTATATTTATTGATTTGTGTGCGTTGAACAAACTTTGCTTCCCTGTGAGGAAACCAATTTGATCAAGCATGTGACCTTCAGGTGACCTTGAATTTGTTTTGCAAGTACTGTTGGGAATTTTTGTTTATTTATTTGAGGATTTTCTATATTTGTTAGGGAAATTGGTCTGTAGTTTTGTGTGTGTGTGTGTGTGTGTGTGTGTGTGTGTGTGTGTGTGTGTGTGTGTGTGCCTTTCTCTTTTGGAGAACAGTTTACAAAAGGTTAGTATTAGATCTTCCTTTTATGTATGGTAGAACTCAGCAATGACCCTAGTCATGATCGGGCCTTTTTTGTTGAGAACATTTTAACTACTGATCAGTTCTGTGGTTTGTTTTGGGTCTTTTTAAATTGTTCATGTCTTATAGCTTTAAATTTGATAGTCATATGCATTTAAAAATTTATTTCTTCTAGATTTTTTTTCCAACATGTAGGTTATGCTTTCAAAGTATTACTGAGTGTTGTTCTGGCTTTCGCTGGAGTCTACTTAACAATTCTCCTTCATCTCTCATTTTATTAATTTGGGTTCTCTCCTCTGTCTGTCTGTCTGTCTTAGTTGATTTCCATTGCTGTGAAGAGACACCATGACCATGGCAACTCTTATAAAAGAAGCCATTTAACTGGGGCTTGCTTACAGTTTCAGAGGTTTAGCCCATTGTCATCACAGTGGGGAGCGTGTCAGCATGCAGCATAGCACTGGAGAAGTAGTTGAGAGTTCTGCCTCTGGATCCTCAGGCAGCAGGAAGAGTGAGAGCCACTGGGCTTGGCATGGGCTTTTTGAAACCTCAAAGCCCACCCCAGTGACACACTTCCTCCAACAAGGCCACACCTCCTAATCCTTTCAGATAGTCCTCTTCCTGGTGACCAATCATCCAAATCTATGATGCTATTAGAGGCCATTCTTATTCAAACCATCCAGACTGGATCCAGACTATCTATCTATCTGTATGTCTATCTATCTATTTATCTTTCATCTATCTATCTATCTGTCTGTATGTCTGTCTATCTATTTATCTATCATCTATCTATTTATCTATCATCTGTCTGTCTATCGATATATAGAGATGTAGAGATTTAAAATACATATTTATCCTCTCTCTCTCTGCTAAGGGCTTGGCAATCTTTTTAATCTTTTCAAAAATCCAACTTTTTGTTTGGTTAGTTCTACGAGATCTATTTTTTGTTTATTTCATTTATTTCTGCCTTGGTCTTTATCACTTCTTGCAGTCTACTGGGTTTGGATTTGGCTTCTTGTTTTTCTGACGCTTTGAGGTTATTTATTTGAGATCATTGCTTTCTTCACTCATTTGCGATCTCTCGAATATTTTAGAGTAAGTAGTTATAGATATAAACTTTCCTCTTAGACTGACTCAGCTGTGTCCCAGAGGTTCTGGTAGGCAGTGTACTCATTCTCACCTGATTCTAGAAATGTGCAAATGGCCTCCTCCATGGTTTCTCCAATGACTCACTCACTGTTCATTCAAAAGTGCATTGTTCAATCTCCAAGTATTTGTGTATTTGTGTGTATGAGGGAAGAGGGTATCCTTGCCAGGTGTATTCCACTGTGGTTTGAAAGCATATTCATGAGGTAACTCAGGCTCTGTGGAAAGATCAATCAGAATTAGATATGTAGGAAAATGCTATAAAAACCTGCCACTCTGTGGAAATTAAAAATCAAACTTAAAAATTTAAAGGTGGCTATAAAACAATTTTTGGAAGAACGTTTCCATCTAGTGGTCAAGTTGAGAACTTCACTTAGGCACAATACTGGTTTCTAAAAATGTGTCTGTTTTATAGTTTCCTATTCAGTAAGAGTTATAATTTCTTTTTGTGCTCAGTTATCAGGCTTCCAAAAATGTTTCCTTGTATTTGACCAGATTCCCAAAGAAGCAATTTCTCCAGGGAAAAGCGAGCTGTGCATTTGTCAAACAGTTAGTAAACTTTCTCTCAGTCGACACCAAAACTCTGGGCATGGCCCACTTCCTTGCACATACACCTGTCTGCACCTGGATAATTTAATAATGTTATAGACCCTTGAAGACTGAGCAACCAGCACAAATAGTCAAACCCTGCCAGTGTCTTACATCTGCCCATCCTCTGCCCAGGTTCTAATACTATAATGGTCTTATTAATTAAAAAAAAAACCCAGAGCCAGATATTGGGATAAAAACCTGAGAGATCAGAGGAATAGTAAAAGCTACAGCCAACCTCACCTTACAGACACCTCAGTCTCCAAAGAGATCTACTTCCTGTATACCCACACCTATTTGCCTTTCTGTTCTGCAATCTCACTTCCTCTCTCCACCCAGCTACATCACTTCCTGTCTGTCTGTACAGACCTCTGGACCTTGGTTAGTGCTGAGATTAAAGGTATGTGCCACCATGCCTGGCTCTGTTCCCAGTGTGGCCTTGAACTTACAGGGATCCAGATGGATCTCTGCCTCCCGAGTGATAGGATTAAAGGCATGTGCTACCATTGCCTGACTTCTATGTTTAATATAGTGGCTGGCTTTTTCCTCTGATCCTCAGATAAGCTTTATTAGGGAGCACAATATTTTGGGGACACAATATATCAGCACACCTCACTCTCCCTTCCAGGGGCTTTATCTGATTTTTCTCTTAGGGAATCATTTATGTTTCAGTTGTTTACCTTAATGTTATATCCGGAGAGCTCATGGAGCTGCGTGTCCTCTTAGCTCATTCCTTCTCCATGGTTCACTCCTTCTCCATGGTTCACTTCTTCTCCATGGTTCACTCCTTCTCCGTGGCTCACTCCTCTATGGTTCACTCCTTTTCTGTGGCTCACTCCTTCTCCATAGCCCACTCCTCCAGGACCACACCCTCATTCTTCCTCTGTTGACTCATGCTTCACTCCTCTAATCTCCTTGGCGATGGTATTTGGCTTTTTTTCCCCATTAATTTTGCTCTTATACCCAAATACTGGGCAAGTTCCATGGATCATCTCCCAATAATACTTTCTTGCTGGTCATGCATGCAACTTGCTGGTCTCTTAAAATGCCATCCCATTCCTTGACCCTTGGTCATGCTATTCCTTGTCAGGACCTCCTTCTATTCACCCAAAGCAGGGATCCATGAGAGACCAAGGAAGAGATTTATCCAAGTCCAGCTTTATCCATGTCCAGCTTGGTGAACTAGTGACATTTTGTTGTTGTTGTTGTTGTTGTTGTTGTTATTTGGGGTTATTTTTTTCCTTACATACAGGAGCATGAATAAGAGGTTGCTTACAGGAGCTTGGGTAGTTCTGAAATGGATGTGAGATATGTCACTAAAAAGTTCCCCCGCAAGCACAACCTTACCGAAGCTGCATACATGGATCCCACATCCTGTCAACCCATACTCCTCCATACCCTTGAGACTGCATGAAGCTGGGATGGATGCATGGAGGAACTTGTGTGACTGGACAATTGTGTGAAAAAGATACAGGCCTGCTGAGAGCTCCTTATAGTAAAATACAAACACAGAGAAGTTGGGACCAAGTGGTCTGGACTCTGGGATGGACAAGCTGCATCATCCATTTTATTATATACAATAGAACTGGGAAGTGGGGTTATTGAATACAGCTGAACATGGAGGCTATGTTACTATATATATCTGAAGAAGGAGGCAGGGTGATTATATACAGGTGAAAAGGAAGCAGGTTTAGCTAACCTGAGCAGGAATGGTATCTGTAGAGGAACAATGTAACATCTGGGGTGAGAAAGCTATGGTGGAGATTTTCTGCACACACTCTCGACACTCACATTCAGACCTGGGGAAGGCTTTGCCGCCCCATGCATCTGAGGCACTGGTCCTTGACATGGCTACACTTGTGTCAATGATGCACATTGACTAAGGGTTTCACTCACTCCCTACAGTTTTTAAAATCACATTATACAACTGAAATATATTTTTCTGTAATTTGCTTATAGTTAGCTCTTCTATCTGCCCTCATCACAAAGTTGTAAATTCATAGGCTAAAGATTTTCTCTTTATCATGACTTTGTCCAACATAACACCTAGTACATGCATAAACATATGTGCATGAAAAATAGTAAAAACAAAAAAACAAGAAGACAGATGCTAAGGGAAGCTCATGTTTTCCCAGAAGATTGAGGATCACAGGTGTAGTGGTATTTGCTCCACCCATGACGTTGAGTTCTAAGGTCCAAAGGAGGAGGTGCTTCTTGCCATTGTAGAAAGAAGGGTCATATGTTTCCTTTATTTATTTACTTATTTTATCCTGACATGATGGACACCAGACAGCCTGAGAATTGAACCCAGTTCCTCTGGAATATCAGTCAGTGCTCTTAACCACTGAGCCATCTCTCTCCTCTTAAAAGATCAGGGACAACAGCAAGAAGCACTGCCTCCTTTGGGCTGTATAGCTCAAGGTCATGGACGGAGCAAATACCACTACACACAGGAATGCAGAATTTTTACAACAGAGGTGTTTACTCCTCAAGTACTTTACAGACAAAGAAAATGGGTGTGGCAATGTAATAGTAAGGAGGACCCATATGAAAAACAAAATGAGGTGGGATTCAGTTGCGATTCCATCCACTCTGTCAGAGGGCTGGTGAATGGGAAGACAGGAAAGTCTCTGTGAAGACATGGAGCTCAGAGGAAGATCAGAGTAGGTCAGTAGATACAGAAAGGTATGAGGACCAGAAAAACAGGAAGGGCGAACACCGGTAGTTTTCAAAAAGAATTAGATAGAGATTGACATATTGAAGATGAGGGGTGTCTTAAAGGAATGCCAGGCCTCAGGGAACATCAGGAACAAGCCTCCAGGAAGGTGTTTAGAGCTGAGTAATTTCAGATTATAACAGGGATCACAGCATGCAGGATTTGTATTTCTTTTGTTTGTTCAATTTTTAATATTTTTTTATTCTGAGAATTTTATATGATGTATGTGTTTACCCCTTTCCCAACTCCTCTCATAATCATCCTCTCCCACCTTCTTTTCCCAGGCCACATAACTTTGAGATTTCTTCTTCCCCCAACTCCCATCAAGGCCAGCTAATCATGTGTGATGTGTGGTTACCCACTAGAACTCACACCACTAAAGAAAACGGACTCTCCTGACACTAAGAACATCTTATCTAATATCGCCTCAGCTAATCATGGAACTTTTGCCCA